TTCAATAAGTTACCTGTTGTTATTCAGTTGTTTCGAATTAATATTGTTCATAAATTATATTTGATGTGATCAAAAAGCTACGTTGCAAGATAGTAAAATCGTAAAGAAAACGATCGATTGTGCGGAAAATATTTCAAAACTGAACCTGAAAGTGATCGTTTTTTTCTCCCATTTGAAGCCCGATAATGCGTAACGTTTTCGGTGCCTCCTTCGATGTCGATGGTGGTACTCGTTGATCGGTCGATCCGGTAAACCGCATCTAATATGGTGTTTAATTTAAAATAAATGATCTCTGAAAGCGTTTCGCTTGAAACAATCACGACGAGTGACTGACTTAACGGGGAGTGAACCGAAATAAAAGCAAAAGCTTTTGTGGTATGATGTATATGGACTGAGACAGACACTTCTTAAATGTTGAATTCAATTCGGTGAGAAAGAACCTTTTGCGTGACATTAGCTGTTTAGTGGCATCATCTAATTTGCCAGTGACAGGGATATTACCGTAATGTTGCAGTTCTCTAATCGCTTCTTCAACAAGTGTTTCGCTCAACATCGCTGCCACACCATTCTCGACTTTTGGTAAATACCCAAATTGTTCTAAATATTGTAACTGAAAACAGATCTCGATTCAATCTCTTAAATTGAAATGTTCAAAGATATTACTTCTTTTTTTTCCGCTTTTTATTCATTTATTAGTTCACCAGTTAGGAAATTTAGTATGTGATTTGTGTTAATTTTTGCTAACAGTGAGTTTGAAAGAACTAGTTGAAAAGAATTGGAATAAATGAAATCAATCGAAATGTTAAAAGAAAAGAATTTCAGAAGTAATATAAAACAATGTCGTTAACACGAAAGTAATGGAGTAGATAAATAGATTATTGAATTAGAAAAGTGATGAATAAACAGTCAGTTGAAGAAATGAACAGAATAAACAAATGCAAAACGAAATCGGCAAACCGTTTTTGCAGAATACGTCCCAAACGAAGTCGACACTAATGTCATTAACAAAATGCAAACACTTATCGCCATTTCATCCACCACTCCGCAGAGAGCACCTTAAAGTGCATTTCATATTTTGTTTCATCCGAAAAAAATTGGGGCCGTCACTTTCAACTGAATCGATTTAGATCGCTATTATTGTTACAACGCCAACAAAAAATAATTCAAAACACAACTGATATAATCAATTTTGATTCATCGCAGTATGGTATATCCAAGTTAAAAAGGATATTTGCATGGACAGATCAACAACGAGAGGAAGGGGTTAATTTCTCGATTTCTTGGGGGTTTTACTCAACGGACTGAGATCTAATCGAAGACAAGAAGGGTCGAAGGGTTTTTAAAGGATCCATAAATTTCGAAAGTTTTACGGTGAAGGAAATTATTTGCATGAACATGTTTGATGCAATTCAATGACAGAAATGTATTTGATAATACATGCTACTTAAACTAGGTTAATGCAAAATTTATGTTTCTTTTTGCAAGATGGATTCTTGCAAAGATATTCGCTAATGATATTAATCCCTCATATCTTCTTATTATCAAAATTCACTTCGTGCGTTATGTTTATCATATGTAAACGAATTCATATTGATTATGCAAAACAGTTTTTATTCAGTGAGTCAATAGATCAACCGAGGCGCTTGCATCCGCTCTGATAATTAATATTCGTAACGCTATTGCGATCTCACATCCTTGTTATCTTTCGCACAACATTTCAGTAATACTAAACACGAAATGCAAATCCTAGTCATTAGTCGATAAAACTGCGCGTTTATAAAACATATCAGTTTGTCGAGAGGATGTACTGAACACTACCATGCATTAGATAAAACAAACTGAATTAATTGAGGAGATGACCTGGAACTTGCTTGGACGGAATTCTAACAAACGAAAATTTAAAATGGATAGCTGCTCAAAGGATGGGATTGTTGAAGAGTAATCACTATTGAAAAGTTGATCAATGCCTACGAATAATCAGTCACAGTGAACGCGGA